GCAGGCCAGAACCGGAGGCGGACACAGCCCTTACGCGCCCGCCCCTCGTGCTCGCATTTGACGTACCCCCGCGCTCGCGCAATGCGTCCCCAGAGCCGCTCGGTGCGCCGGTAGATGGGATGGAGCTTGATGCAGACGGGGTGCTCGTCGATACGGACATGCTGGATGAGCCGATGTCGCCAGACAAGACAGGGAGCGAGTCGATGGTATGGCCTGGGCGATAAATGACGCTCACAGTGATCGTTGTGCGCTTGCTGGGGATTGTTTTTGCGCTTCTTATATGGTGTGAGTGTGTTCGCTAACGGGTGTTTGGCGACCCTACGTGGTCCCAGCGTCCCGCGCGCGCTGTTCACCCACACATATATCATACACGCCTTCCATTCATCTCATCTCATCTCCGCTGTGTCCGGCCCACCCTTATCTCCAGCAGCTGGATGTCTTGCCTATGCCCCGTTTCCCCTGTTCGTGCTCTTGCGCATAGACTTTCGTGCTGCCATTGCCATCATCAATTAATGGGTTGATCATGCTTTTACGACCGTCACGTCACAGATCCACGTATATCACACATTAATGTACGTTTGGGTACATACAGCTTTGATTTCTTTATATCGCTCGACCTATCTTGTTTGTTTGGATTGCATTTGCAGGTGCTTTGACGATCTCCAGGTCTCTGGAAAGAGTTTGCATTTCTTGTATTAGACGACTTGCGGATGATTCTAACGATATCGCTGCTCACTTTCAACGGTCGTCTTCAAACAATCTGCGTGATGGGTTGGGGGTTTGGGGGTTTGGGGGGAACGATGCCGCCCGGTGAAAGCGGCTTCTGAAGACTAGAACCGCAACTGAACACTTGCCATGAGGAACCCTGCCCATCATCTGGCTATGTTCCCAGGTGACTGGGAAGCTACAGCGGCCGTAACGCCACCCCGCTGTTGCCAGTGAACTCGGGCGTGTTGAATGGCAACCCTCACGGAAATTGTGTCTTGGAATGTTTCCAGAATATTGGGACCGTTCAAAAGGCGTGTTCAATTCGATGAACACCTCGGCGCTCAGACTGCGAACACTCAATTCAATAGTGAGGCTTCAATATATCCTGCTGCTGTTCCGTTGCTCCAAATACACAATCGAGACTCACAGGAACGACACTTTGGCGTCGCCGTCATATGGGACGGATCCAGCGCGAGACAGACGGAGCTGTGACGGGATCGTCGCTCGGTGACCCAGGCCTGGAGCTGACTGCGACTGCGCCCGCGATAGGAGTCGAAATAAAGAGCGTGTCTGGTCAGCTGCAGAGCGCGGACTGCGTCTCGTCCGCTGCGTGTTCATTGTCCGCAGTTTGCTCGCCGCGCGCCCATTAGGTCATTCGTCAGTTGCGCACCTACGCTACGCGCACAGTGCCGGGTGTCTGGAACCTCCCGTATGCCAGAGAGCACCATCCCTGTCAGGCGCGCGAAAGCTTTAGGCTTGGTCTGAGTGTGCAGCCCAGCCATGCCCAAAGGTACTCTATAATGTGGGAAGCTTAGAGGATGGTGAATGGCGGCGTTCATCGGCGGCTGAGAGAGAAAAAGAGAGCCGTGGAACCAGCTACGGCAACATCTGGAAAATTGTCAAACGTCCTAAACTGCTTGGAATAGGCTTGCAATCGATGCATCTGCACGTACGAGATAGAGCAGGCGCAAGTCCTTGATTTTAACTCCGCATTTTCTTCTTCACTCTTCGCAGCGTGGCGCACTGTGGTGGGGTAAGGACAGGCAGATATTTGTTCATCCGTGTTCGAGAAATGCAGTCAGCATATCCCTTGAAGATATCCCTTGAAGATTATGTGAACGAGACGCATATACTGTTACAGAAATTGATTATTATGTAAATGGACGAAGCCGATGTTATCGCTTTAAGAACCTCGTCCTGCGATACTCATGAAGTGCGCACGTCTTGCACGGACTCTGTTATTGAGTGCTGACGCGTTAATTACGAGCTCGTCCTTCAGAACAGCGGTCAAGTTCGATGCTCGTGAGAGCTGCCGACGAACTTGAGGCTATGGGAAGATCAAACATGTTGCTATTTTCGTAGATGACATAGATGGCAATTTTGGGGGGCTGAGGAGTCAGAGCCAAGAGATGAGCCAGGAGATATTACGGTCGGACTAAGTTCGGATGACAGCTCAATCCGCGTCAAGCTGAGATCCAGGAATATGCATTCAAAATCAAAGGCTGCGGAGCTGTCCGATTGGCACCAACCGAGGGTGGTTAGGTTGAGCAGATGAGTATGCAGACGCTGGTGATGCGGTGCAAGGCGTCGACAGAGAGTAGATAGGACGGTAAGTCTGGCGATTCACAGCGTGCAGGGGTTCCCTCCATAGCAGTTAAGATATTGGAGCTGAGGAAGCATGTCCGGTCTTTGGGATGTTCGATGGGCGTCCAGAATGCCTGCACAGTAAGCGGAAATTAGCCAAGAATAAATTATGCATCTCGGAACAGAGTACCAGAATCGATGCTTGGTTACAATACACTGACCAGTCTTCTCTCAAAGATCTGCAAGCGTGCATTTGACCAGGTTACCAAGTCCGCACTGCGAAATCTACAGTACATTCAATATTGGGTGAGCAACGTACGATACATCATCGCCAGCACAAAGACATCGCGCCGACTAGCCTATAAATGGAAGCGATCTAAAATTTTTAGAACGAGGTCGTCAATAATGAGACCGACATTCACTGTGTGCGAGGATTGAAGGTAAAGGAGAAAAGAGGTGCTGTCTCGAGTATGCAAATTAGGACCTACTTCGCGGGGATATAGCGGCATTCACCATCACTTCAAATTTATCACATTAGAACGACTCACATTGAACTAGTCCAAGACACGCCAGAGGTTCTCTGTGGAACGAATTCCAGGAATGTATGTACGAAGAGTGATTGTCGTCCGAAGTTACACGTCAAAGTCCGTTTTTGTTTACCTCCACAACGTTACTCTGGATATATTAACAAAGAGCCGAAGGATCCTCATGCGCTAGAGATCCGACACGAGTAATAACAAAACACAAGCCAGTGCGCGGTAGTGGGACAAAGCCTTCGCAGTCGCAATGATAGCCGAGTAATACCCGACACAGTGGCTTAGCCTTCGAACTCCCGACGCTATACATACATTTGCTTAAGCCTACAAGAACCCGAGCCTAAGATCGGAAATTTATTATACAGTACACAACGGAGATGCAACTGTCAAAGGCAGTTGCAATATCCATCTCGGGCAACTCCAGTCACTCCGTTGTTCGATACACAGCGACTATGACAGTGCATAATACAAGATCCCGGCCGATGGTTCATCCTCTGCAAGGACGACCGTTCGTTAAAGATCCTGTTGATATACTGGCGTGCGTTAAAAAGGTGGGCGACTCTGATACATGTTGAAAACAGGGCAAGATACCCCACGAACGGCAATGGCACATCGACATCTGGGGTGCGGCACTCAAACAAATATACTGTGAATCAAATTTCATGAGGATCTGTCATGACATTCCCAATCCCGGAAATTGAATCACCATCAAGTCCAAAGGAAGCCCATTGCATCCGGAACATGACAAGACTGCGCATACTGAACTAGCCTATTGTTTCTAGAAAATATCAGCACGCTCACCACAAACACAACACGGAAGACACACCTTGTCATCGTCAGACAGATTGAGATTGGTTCTCAGAGTAAGCATATTGTTCTTTCACCAGAAACATACTATCAACTGATTCGAGGTCCCACCGCCCCGTCAGAAGACAGGGTCCGGTAGCCGTTGCAACCTAAAACTTGACAGGATATAAAATTTGAGCTAAGATAACAGACAGATACTAGGACAAACCAGTTGTCTCGATCCATCATACTTAAGTGGAGGTTGCTGAAGCAGTGCTAACATTTGCGCCTGCGTCATACAGTATCAGAAGACAGCCTAGAAGGGCGACTAGCCGGCGTCGTCGGAGTACCACCCTTCGGGGAAAGGTGACAAAAAACTCTCTGCACAGATGCGGACGAATCGGTCAATGAAAAATTTAGCAAGTTCGATCATAGGTGTAGGATGGAATGCTAGTTGCAAGTGTCTGTGCAGAATCAGACTTCTGCCTAAGCTCACGAAGAAAGCGGCCCAAGAACTGAGCTGCAGCGTCTCCGTCCAGCTGAGGCACGACCTGGTTGGCGAACGATGAGGCGCATAGATATCACATCTCATGCTCCAGGATGAGAGCATTTCTACTAAGCTTTACGCAGACTCCAACAGGATAGGGATTAGGGTGCTCTGAGGGGACGGGTACCCGGAATTGGGCCATGATGAATGCAGTGCTACTATAAGTGGACCAGTGCCAACACGCTGTTCAAACACCAAACCTGCAAATGACTGGCGCCACGTTGCAACACACGCCGTTCCCATGGACGATCTAGCAGATATGTCTGTATTCAGTGACGACGTGGAGTCCAGCCTCCAACATTTATCCCGGCCAATGCGTCTGGTCTACCGTCTCGAAAGTACTGATCCTTTTCTGTTCCAGAAGTAGATGTACACGGAAGGGACAGCCGTCGGTCTCAGTATCCTCCATGGAGCATGGCAGATGGGCTGATATACATGCTTGCACGGGACGAGCGCTGGTCGGCGGTTATTCCGCCATTGTCGAGGCAGCATGATGCAGTCTTATCCGAATGTGTCCTGCTTACGACCCAGCGCAACGTTAAGAGCTGCGCGGGCAAGGACGGAAGGACATAGTACTCGCCAGAAACCTCAAGCAGCTCGTCAAAGCTTACTTTGCGCACGCCGCCTCCGCCGCCTCGTCTCTCCGCTCACAGGCCGCCCCTCCGTGTCTTCCGCGTCTGCCTTATTCCGAAAACTCGACGGGTCGGGGATCTTCGAGGGATCGATACCCTCCTTCTGCATTGCCTCCAAGAAGACAGGATTGTGCTTCAGCGAGTACGCGATGCGCTCGTTCCAGCACGGCTGCCCCGGCGCATCGACCTCGAAGTCGGGGGCGCGACCGTACCCGATGGTTGCGACACGTATCAAGATGCCCCTAAGGTGTATGTGACGGTTAGCCTAAGCATTCGTACAGTGTGCATCGGGAGGGGGCATACGCTGTTAGTCCGAAGATGGGCTTGGTCCCACCCGCCTCGCGACCTGTCAGGAAGCGGTGCACGCGGTAAGTGCCGACGGACGAGTTGATGTCGGAGTAGGTATGGTACTCCATCTCGAGCATCTGGGGCTCCGTCGGGAAGGGTGGGTCGGAGTGTAGCAGGGAGATGAGTGGATGGGAGAACAGTGAAGCGACCTCGGGTGTGTTGAGGATGGGCTGTGGGGGGTCGACGGCTCTGGTCAGACTGACGGGGAAGATGAGGCAGGGAGACGTACTCGGAGGGTATTGTCGAGGATGAGAACGACGACTCTGGGGTGCGCCGAGATTTAGTTTTAGAGCACATAAAAAGAGAAATACCCTACGGAGTGACTATCAAGTTATGACCCGCCAACACGGGTTCGAGAACACAGAGTAGTGGGACCTTGCGCTGGTCCATTGGAAGACCTATCTGCTGCATTCAGCCATGTTTCTTCCAAGTAGTCCCAACTTGATACCTCTTCAAATGCTTCTCGACGCTGGAGACCTTTGAACAAGTGCATCATGTCATCGACAAATTCCTACACGCACAGCAGTCCACTCCATATTCCGATCCTGCGGCTCCCACTTTCCACCAGGCAGCGAAGTGTCGCCGGCGTATGTTCTCAGGGTAGGTGCACGCCTTTCAATCCATAGAATAGCTGCGTTAGAAAACAGAAGCGATCTGAAGGCTGTCCACTCACCGACTTAGAAGGACGTACAAATCACCCATCCGCCCCACGAACAGCGCGACGAGCACTGCCGCGCACCGTGACTTTGGTAGCGCCATCTGCTGCTTAGCCTGTCGATACATGAGGAGATTCTGCAAGCACCTTGACAACCCAGGCGTTGTGAGCTCCACACAGACGTTGCACACCGCAACAGAATAAGATCATGCGCACGCTTTGGATTCTGGCTTCAGGACGGGGATGGGGGCTTCGTCAAGCGAGAGTTTGGGTCTGTGGAAGCTAAGGAGCGTGCTGCGTTTATTTCGTGGTCTTGTGGTCGACATTGGGCGGAATAGTGGGACTGTCGGAAGAGAGAGGCGCAGGGATGTGGAGGAAAACATCCTCCTGCTAAGGTGGACGGGCACGCTTGATCGAAATAGGGCTCACTCGGCAAGCGCCGAACCCAGGTGGAACGATTGAAGCTGAAGCATTGACTCAAAACGCCGACCAATAGACCAGGAGTCAACTTCTTTGACAACAGATATAGTATACAAATATTAATAGCGTTTACAATAATAAGACCTTCGGGACTCAAGAGAGCCCCAAGCAACATAGCCACGTCCCGCACGGCATACCAGTTATGCGATACCCAAAATCCTGAAGTGACCGGCTAATCCACATGGCTCAAGCATCAATCATTGTCCAATTCAAATAGTCCAATGTCCCAACCCGACGACGAGCCTCCCAAAGGAGGAGTGAGCAACCTCTGCCTTTGTCAACCATTCAATCATTTAGAGGGACAGTCCGGTCCAGTTCTGCTCGACTTATTTGATACGAGACCACTCGTCCGAGTTTCGGCGTTGCGGGTGGCAAGATGATACCAGCCGCGCATTGCTTTCGGAAGTCGATATCCATCACCTGTTTCGTAATCCTTGATTAGTTTATTGAGACGGAAGCAAATCGAGTAACAAACCTCTTTGGTGTAAATCGAGCCCTGGAAGGTCCGATGACTGAATCGGAATGATGGACTCGGAGGAAGAGAGGGTTTCACGGACTGTCGAGAGGCAGTTGTGCTCGCGTACTTCTTGCGGAGCTCTGGTCTCGCATTCAAGGTTGCAAGAAGAGAATTCAGCAACACTACAGAGCGATACAGTTGAGAAAGACGCTGCATTCAATGAGAAGGTATTTGACGAACACTTTGGAAGTATGAAGAATATCGCAATGAAGACAAGATTGTTCTGCATCGTTGCGTACTATGGGCGGCACGAGATGAGCAATGTCCGAAAACGGACGCTAGATCAAACACTCACAGAAACCAAACACGCAATTTCACATAGACTACGACAACGCGCAGTATTAGGCATGATATACAACGCATGGATGGCTGACGCTCCTACCTAGTCAAAGCACCGCTATTGATGCCATATGTGATTAGCATTCTCACCAAAGAATCCGTGCTGCAACAAACAATGGATATCAGTCCTGCTTGGGTATCGACGCGCCCCACCGCCAGACTTACTCGGGGTTTTTATTTCGACAACGTCTCAGGACGATGCAGAGCGAGAGGGCGATCAGGATGTCGGTGACGACACCGGCGCCGAGGCTCCCGTACATTATCCACTGATGTATGATTAGCGTATAAGCGAGATCGATCCGTACCGCACGTGTGAAGGCCTACCGATAGTTGGGAAAGGCGGAAGACATCCCCAATAACAGTAAAGCTATACAGCAAGTCAGCAGAGGCAGAATCCCGTAAAATACGACGGACGTACCACTTGATTGAGAAAACTAGACAGTATGTCCGTCCATGATCAGCATGTTGCCACAAACACAGTTGCAGAGTCAAACGTACGCAAGCTTCCAGCTGCGCAAAGGATAACAAACGATCAGTACTGAGACATTTCGAACTGTGTACAGGCATTGCTTACCAAATGCAACGAGCGCACATGATTCCTGGAAATCAAATCAGCATCTACAACTTTAAGATGATTTATCCACATACTATAGTGAAGGTGAGGAGCCGATTTTTCTGGCTTACTGCAATAAGGAACAGTTACATGATGATTGGTTGACCAGTTGAAAAACCGCTTACAGTTCCACATTCGATGGCAGAAAAGGCTGCGGAGTTAATGTCAGTTCGACTTCGATGAGCCAGTATATTCAAAACAGACAGACCTCCGTACGATCACATCCAGGAGACCCTAGCAAATGAATGCGTCAAACAAAATGATGAAACGTTCGAGAGCAGCGCTTACAGTCACAACCGTATGTGCCTGGGGATATTAGCAACAGACAATGAGTCGAGATACTGGATGAAAGTGCGTGCGACACTCGCCTTCAGGCTCCTGTACATCGTGAGAGAAAACATAAAATGAGGATTCGCCGCCAACAAATTGGACAGTGATGGGCTTACCATGTAGGGGTCGTCAGCGATAGCGGATTTGCGTAATCTGTAACGGCGCAAGTGTATATCGCGCAGGTGATTAGTGCCAAATGGAGAGTGTCTAAAATGCTACACGGTATTTTAACTTAAGTATATGATGAGTAAATCGGAGCAGACTGCATACGGACCATAGGAGATAGACCTGTAGCGAGGCATATTGATTAATGTATCATAGCGCGACGGGAAAAGTGCGTACCGTCCACCTCAGCCAAGAGCGATCCTTACTGCTTTTGATGTATATGCAAGTCTGCATGAGCCCGATGCCGTACAATCTACAAGCCGCCAATAAAATTTAACAGCAGTGGAGAGTAAGAAGCAAACCCACATTGCTGCCATGATATTTCCTGCGCGCCAATTCAAGTCAGCTCGCACTGTTCTCGATCACATCCTGAACGACGCGCACCTATGAACGCCACTCCCAAAGTATCATATGGTGGACCAGGGGCATACGACGCCATTATCAGAATGTGAATAGTCAGTAGAGTAGGGGTGGAATGGGTGGAAGAGCGCTCGCAGAGCTTATCCTAGTGGGGGGCGAGATCATGGAATGTGATGTTTTATGTTATAAGTAGGGGTGTTGTGGTTGTTGTGGTTGTAGGAACACAGCTGGCGTTGCTGGCGAGTTTGACACTTGAAAGTCGCAAGACTAGGTGAGGCGATGTGAGGCATCTTCGATGAGCTGTGATGGGATCGCAGTAGAGGAGACCGTTCCTATCTATCGTCATAGTAAAAGAGGAATCGAGGCGCCGCCTGCTACGATCGGATTGTGGGTATGAGGTGATGGGGCTCGTATAGCCGCACATCTCACTGAACCAGGCGCTATTATCCCGCGAATGTATAGCTTCACGATTCTGGAAGCATCAGTCTCAAAACAATTGTAAGTCTTTCGAATCATCGAGTATACATGAAGAGCTGGCGTGTGAACCACGCTGAAGACGGGCGATGGGAGGCTAAACGTTGCCATGCTAGGGTCAATAGAAGCCTGCAGCCAAACATATACCGTCTCTGAGTTTGTGAACCACTACAGCCTTTAGTGATGGACCATTACGGAATCTAACAGCCCCACTGTCTCAGTGACTGAGCTCATCTCGATGCATTCGATGCCATCGTTGATCACCCCCCAATTGCTTCCGAGTACATAGAGCCTGCTTACACTTTGGACGATGAAGCGGTCCCCTTCTTTGACTTGCCTAGGCAACCGAAAATAGCGCACTCGTATTTGAATTTAAAACGGAGTAAAAGAGATGAGTCCAGAATGAGACTGACGTGGTTGAAGAGGTAGACACCGGTAGCGTAGCGTTGAGGCTGATAGTATCATTCATAGCGCCGGTAAGATCCATCGAATGAGGGTTCGTGCTGCTGAGGGACATAGAAAGATATTTCGTCAGTAGAGATATGTTTGTGAGATATGTCTGCGCGGAAGCAGATCACGGTGCATGTATAGCCATTTGCACCTCATTGACAGCGCAGTGTCCGAATGGGGCGCATCGAGACGGAGGTCGTACTGAAAAGGCATCAAAACATACGGGGTTTAAAGCAAAGTGCGGCCAAAGACTCCAAGCAGTGTTCGCGGTGGGCCAATTTGGGGCCAATTTGCTCACAAGCGGGGATCATTGTTGGAAATGGCTGTCCGCCCTTAGACATGATGCAGATATGTCGAATTGTGGGGATAGTTACTGGATGACGGTCAGACAATGTGAATGATTCATTGCCGCCTGGATGGGACCCTTAAGCCCGGTACAGACCATTGAGAGATACAGCGTCGCACAATCTGCGACTTGGAATGAGGCATTGAGACAGTTTCGACAGTCAAGTTCAAATTGAAATAGTAGCGCCAAAACCCGGCAGCACCCGCCGCCTCGTCGTTGGTCGCTATATTGCAAGACGCCTAGGAGAGTCGAGACTCATCAACAAAATCAATGATAATTGGCTGAGTTACAAAAGATATTGTATTATTGCTCGTGTATGAAGGCATAAAGATGACACAAAGTCTTATAGCACTTGGTGATGTGCAGTACTTAGTGCATTATGAACACATGAGAATGGGAATGCACTATGAGACTTGAATCTTGTGCGCGGAAATTTTATTCAAGTCGTTGTGCTGTGGTAAATGGAGTATTTTGAGCAAAATCTTATGTCCAAAGCAGCTCAATTCAGATGGAGGCCCGTTGCAAATTGAAACTCGCGCCGAACACATAAGCATGTCCAGTAATTGGACCAGCCATGCGCGTGTGATGGAGCGGTGTCTAATTTTGATTTCTCCCAAGCACGTGTTGACATGCCAGGTGGAGAACTCACAGAGGCATTAAAGGTCTGTGTCTCATTTTCGCGCGAGGGGCATTTGGAGGCTGCATTCATCCCACTGGTGCCGCTAG